ATTTGTTGTGAGCTCTGACGGAATTCGTCCTAACCCGGACAAAGTCAAATCAATCCAAGATGCTCCTAAGCCGACTAACAAGGAGCAACTGCAGGCATTTTTAGGGTTACTCAATTTCTATCACTGTTTCTTACCCAACAAAGCCAATGTTGCAGAACCTTTACATCGCTTATTGGACAAAAATATTAAATGGCGGTGGGAGGAAAAACATAAACTTGCTTTCAATGCTTCAAAGAAGCTCCTTTCTTCTGATAGTATACTGGCTCATTACAATCCCTCCAATCCCTCACTACTAACTTGTGATGCATCTCCTTATGGTATTGGTTGTGTGCTTAGTCAGGTTCGAGGGGAAAAGGAAGTTCCAATTGCGTTTTATTCCAGGACAATGAGTCAGTAGAACGAAGATATGCTCAAGTAGATAGGGAAGCACTTTTCCATCATTGGAGGATTAAGAAATTTCAAATACATGATGCACGGATTGGCCGATGAAATAGTCGCCTCAAAATAATCGCTCGGGTGCGCCTAGCCTAACCGTACAAAAACACTTTGATATACTAAATTGTTTGTTTTTTAAGCTCTTTAAAAAGATCTAGAGAGAAACTGTGAAACTCTGTGTTTTGGGGGTCAAAAATGAGTAAAACCAATTTATACCCCATAAGACCCCGTTCCCATGCTGGTTCGGGAACTGATTCAAGTTTATCCCGCATTTATCCGGACATATTAAAAAGTAAATTGGTCCTGGGCCTAGGTCTTTCCGTGCCACTCACGGTAATAGTTACTTCCCTATAGGGAAATTTATTAAAAAACCTCTTTGGTTCAAGGTGTGTTTATAATCAGCTGTTACATTTATTTTATTTCTTTTCTTTTGTTGATATTTAAGATCTTTGTTGTTATATTTCGTTGCCAAACATAATTCTGAAATCCCGTAATATTGAAAGAGCCCATTTAAAAAAAAAAATCCCCGGAAATTTTTTATAACACGGACAAATAGCAGCTACAAAACAAACTCCTACTCTGGCTACTCCCCGAATGCCACGGAACTCCTACAGAAGTTGGTAGCCCTGGCTCCAACCACTAACTTGTCATGGCAACGCTCGCTAGTGCTTGACGCTGCAGAGAGGTGTTCACCGAAACTACATGGCACTCCTATAGCGATGGATGCCCAGAATATATGCTAACCGCAGCGCTGCTGTCGATCTATATTTAATTATTTTGTCTATTGCTATAGTTTCTATCTAGTTTCTGGCTAAATGTCCACTTTGACCACACCTGTTACAATAAATTAAAATTTCCAATTCTGCACTTATTTGGGGAGCAAGCTGGTCTAGTCGTTAGAGCGAGGGACTTCGGTTCCTAAAAGGTCGCGGGTTCAAATCCCGCCATACCACCAATGGATTTTATCTGGACTGGGACGGTGGCGAAGTCCTGTAATCCAGCTACTAGGAGGTTACGAATTGTGGATATTTATAGGCATGCACTGTGGATACGGTACTCCCTAGTGGGGATTAATGTCCGCACTAGTTAGTAGTCAAGAGTCAAGAGTCAAGAGTATTTATTCCATTGATCTATAGCAATACAGAAATAGGAACAGTCAAATATTCTTACTAAATGCTAATACATTTATGTCTTTACATATTTATGTCCTGGGGTATAAATTGGTTTTACTCATTTTTGACCCCCAAAACACAGAGTTTCACAGTTTCTCTCTAGATCTTTTTAAAGAGCTTAAAAAACAAACAATTTAGTATATCAAAGTGTTTTTGTACGGTTAGGCTAGGCGCACCCGAGCGATTATTTTGAGGCTACTATTTCATCGGCCAATCCGTGCATCATGTATTTGAATGGAAGCGCGCACACAGGCGATCTTAAAATCTGGGTTTTGCTACAGATTCGTAGGCGAGGCGATTGTCGCCCGAAAATCTGTAACGTACAGATTGTTATCAGTCCACGCACATGGTCGTCTAAAAAATCGGCCAGTCGCTTTTTGTTCTCCACAGGAGTCAGTGAACTTCAGTGTGAGTTGTGTTGTTTTCTTTGCTAAAAAAGGCCACAGCTGTTATAATAAAAACTTAAACTTCCAACAGACATTCTATAGTAATTAAAGGACTTTTTACTGTCATCACGTAAAGTGTATAGTTTATAAAACTGTTGATTTAAAAGTCACTGACTTACTATTGGATGAACCCAATATTTAAGTTTTCTTCTTTTTTTCTTTGATCTAATTAGAATAGCACAAACAAAGGTTAATTCAACAAAGTCCATTTTAGGATAGCTTAAACGCACTAAAAAAAATCCATTTCTCGACTAAAAAATCGCCACGTGTGGGCCTAGACATAAATCAAGGGCGATTTATTTTTGCGATCGAAAAATCGACTGTGTGCGCCAGGCCTTATTGGTAATGGAGAAAATTTAGAAAAATGTAAAATTAAAATTCCCATGTTATTCTTATGGAGAATATTGTAAGATGTAGTTTGCTTGTTTATGGATATATTTTGATCAAACTTGGTAAACTTATTTATTTTATACTAAGCTATTAATATTTTATAAAAAAACACGCTTTATTAGTTTCCCTGTAGCAGCAAACCTAGGTACTCGTTAAACTTAACGTTATTTAAATAGATTTAAAATAAAGATTTGAAAGTAAATTTAGGTAGATGGAAATTCGCTTAGGCGGCAGGTTTGCTGCGGCGGGGGTATTGTTTATGACTGGAGGACAGTGAGATGCTATCCTTACAAAACTGAAGTTAGCGTGTAACAATAAACCGGGCGGCACCAGAGTTGTTATTGTCCTCCGGGTACTAATTTATTACTTAAGAATAGTGTGTTTGAGATGGTCTCTTCAGGCTGTAAACAAGCATTTGAGTTTATAAAGAGTAAGCTAGATAATAAAGATATAAAGATATAAAGAGATATAAAGATAGATATAAAGAGTAAGTAAGATGATCCAAAGTTGCCATTACAATCAACTACAGATATAATAGCTCAGGTTCAGACTAAGGGCTATAGGTTGTGTACTAAGCCAAGTCCAGAGGGATGGTTTAGAAAAACCAAGATGCTATTGCTTCCAGAACCTTTCTGTATTGTATCTAAGGCAGAGTTATAGGTTGTTCAATCATTGATAAGGAAGTTCTTGCAATTATATTTATGAAGTCAAAAGATTCAATACACTGATTGATACACTGGAAAGGAAAGTTTACACTATTGTCAGACCATAAATCATCTACTTCATGTGAGTTTTCTGAATTTTTAAAGAATAGTAAATTAAACATACTTTAGCATCCATTGTTAAAGTAAAGGATTAGAAAAGGATTCAGTCAAACAAGTATAGAAAAAATAAAATATCCTCTTTTGAGTAGTAAAAATGTTGAATTGTCATTAAACAGGTTTTTATACCCTTATAAATATTCTATTAATAGTAGTACAAATAAAACTTCTGCTAAACACGGAGGAGTTACAGAGAATACACGCTTATGGGATAAGCCTTCATCTCTGGTAAGCTGTGCCGAAAACATACTTGCATAGGGACGTGCAAGGGAAGGTAGAGTGCAAGCACTATGTGGACATTCCTATCACACAGGCATAGGGTATTGCTCTATCGTGAATGTTGAAGTACATGAGGGCAAGGAAGGAGGTGTTGGACTTTGCCCTGGACACCAGCACTAGTGCTAGACACCGCTTAAAAGTACCATTGAGTGTTTGATCCTCTGTGCTTTACTTCCCTGCCGTAAACCAAAGAACTGAAACCCAGAGATCATGGAAAGCAAAGAATTCATTCACAATAGGAGTTAAGACAGCACAAATTTAATGCAGATTTTAAAAAGAAAATCTGGTTCTATGATATGCTAATTTCAATATATCTGGGTATATTAATGAACAGAATTTCCATGTATGGGGGGTGGATGACAGACCTCACATCGTTAAGGCGATACCATTTTTGGGAAAAAATATAATACTTACCAATTTATAGTCCAGTCCAGGTAACACTAAACAAAATCACCAAACAAACTACCAAATTCTGTAGGAGGTCCAAGGTGAAAGCAAGATTAAAGTAGTTGTGGTATTTTAAAATTAAAAATAGAAAACTAAAATTGGATGACTTTTAAGTTACTTATTTCAAAACATGCCCCCTTAAGGGGGGGGGGGGTGCACTTGCCTAAAATCAAATTATAGGAAATGGATTTAATATTTAAATTTAATAATATTATGTATTAGCTACCCTCCTTCGTCTACAGTATACTATTTTTATTTGGTAGCTTTATTAGTTACCAAAGCATGTGAATATTAACTTTAAAACACCATATTTGCAAACATATATCCCGAACCTCCCAGAGATTCGTTATTCGTTATGTATTGCACCTCGCTGTTCCAAATCCTGCGGGCATCCATGTTTAAAAGGAAGTAGATATATGGAATATTTGTCAACAGCTTCTTCAACTGTAGACAATAGACAATATTCTTATTTGCATATTGGTAGAGAGAATTTTTACCACTCTACAATGTATTTGACTTAAATTGACCCATTTTACGTACTTTAATTGGAGGTTGAAAGCTATTGCTGTCCATGCCAGCTGTCATTGTCATTTAGGGACCAAGCACGTTTTTGCGGCCCTAGTGCCGAAAATCAGCTTAACCGGACTACACTCGGCTGAAATGACATCTCTTTAACCGGAAATTTTTTATCACCACATTGGTTTAACCGGACTAGATCGGCCGGAAGTGGGCGGTACTGAAATTACTGTTCTCGTGGGAAGGATTTGAGACCAATGATCACGTGTCTAAATACAATGCTCTCCTAAATTTAAGTCAAATACTGTATACAGAATGCATTTAAACGGTCCCTTTTAAAGAGTTTTCGGGGACGTCGGTTTAACCGGAAAAACCATTATTCGGACTGGCCTCGGTCCCGAGGAGTCCGGATAAGATACATACTGTGCAGCATATTGATTTATAATTTGATAACAGGAAAAATAATAAAAACAAGAGGTTTTACTTGTATTTATAATAATTACATATTTATATTACATAACACTTCATTTCACTCGTTCGACATTCATACAACTTAAAAATTATTAAATAGACAATGGCATTTAAAATAACAGCTTTCTTTACCGGGACATCATAAATTAACCAAACATAAGCACTAAGTGGGTTACGGTTTGTAACAACTCAATAATTGGCTTACCTATATTATCTAGGTTTACTTTCAATGCTTTTGTCATAAGAAATCATTGTGAACAAAGTACAAATGTGCGCAAGTGGTGTTACTCGCTAACAAGAGACTTTGTCAAACCATCTCGTTGTTCAAATACTGAGTAAAGGAGCATTTCTAGCTCAGACAAATATACAAATCACTTCATGTATAAGTAGGATAGGTACACAAACAATAAAATAATAATAAGGGAACTTTATGACCATTGCGAGCGGGAGCTTGGTAACAAATACTAACATAAATATTCACAGTTTCATTATTTACAATTAGGATATTACATGATCAGTAAAACTTCATCGTTGAAGTTCCAGTAATCAGGGAATATCCAAGACTTGATGATTGTTGTTGACTAGCCTGACCTTGGAGAGATTGGCTTACTTGGATCGTTCCGACTCATCTCCCATCGACGCCTCAGGCCCGAGGTGAGCAAATATTGTACCAATGAGGAGATACAATGTTCTTACCCCCATCTGGCAGCGAGGTGATACAAGGATTTGAGCAGTTCAACGGCGCGAGCGTCAGGATCCGAACCAAAGCTAGATGCTGATGGATTTTGTGGAAACAGATTTGGAGATCTTAAAAACTGAGGCTCAGGTTTGTTTGAAGCATCATTACTTGTGATTGTTTTAACATCAGGGTCCGTTCCTCTGTAGGATTTTGGATTTCTTGACCGAGAAGTGGTACTACTTTGTGTTGTAGTTGTTGAAGAACCTCTAGACCTGGTTCGTGTTCTTCCAGATTTTTTTGTTGTGCTCTTCTTATCCTCGTATTGAGTACTTTCTGTAATCCCTGCTGTTGTAGGTTCAGGTGCAGTTGTCTTCAGCAATGCTTGTATCAGCTGGTTCCTTGAGTCTTCAAAAGATTTATTTTCTTTTCCGTTGCGATCAGCCACTAACAGAAGAACAAGCCTTCTTACTGTGGTATTAGATTCAGCTTGGTTCATTACATTCATTAGCATATTAGCACTGGTTTCATTCAATTTGCCAAAGATTTCTTCTGCTTTTTTCTCGAGCATTTCTTCTTTGGCCGTTTCAAGAGTTACGTTTGGTGGTAAAAGGGTAGATGCAAAGGTGGAGAAGTCTTGGGGAGAAGATGCAAAGTTTTCATTGTTAAGAATAGTATTTATCAAACTCTCCGGGGTAGTAATATCTGCGTTACTAGAGGGTCTTGCATTCCACTGCCAGGAATTACGAAGTGATCCTCGGGGAGGAATAACATCTGGTAAATCTGGTTTGAGAGAAGAACTGGGATGATAAGTTGTAGCTCGTATTATTGATCTCGTACTTCCAGATGCTTGCAGTGGATGTTCAGTTGTTGAAACCACGTCATTAGATACAAGACTTAATCCCTCGTTTATTGACACTGGGTTAATATTGATATCTGGGGAGTATGTAGTTGAACGTTGAACATTTTGTATTTCAGGTGTGGAGTAACGAATAGTTTTGGTTCTTTCAAGTGTTACACCATTTCCTAAGTTTACATTTTGAAATGTTATTTCCTTGTTTGGTCTCCTCCTAAAGCTTGATATGTCAGATCGATCAGCAGTTGATGGTGGACCAAATCGAACGGACCCTCTACTTTTCATAGTTGTAGTCTTCTGAGTTGTAGTTGTTGGTTCTACCGGTCTGATACTATTTTCATTTACGTTTTGAACTTTCGAGGCAACACTATTCTTTGTATCAAATTCGTGCTTTGCCCCTAAGATTCTTACGTAGTTATCCCTTGATACAAATGACTGACTTCCAGACGCAATGAGTACCTTTTCTTGATCCGTTCCTCTTCCATATATTTCTTCTTCTGTTTGTATAAGAAACGGCTTGTGTTCTATTGAATCTGAACTTAAATGGTCACCATGATTATGTGAAGGGTCATTGCAGTCATTATGGTCCTCAACTAGTGCATTGATATCTTGAGCAGGAACAATACCCAACTGTTCAGGAATAGACTCTATATCAATTTGGTTTGAAGCAGCAGTCGAAACATTTTTGTTGGTAAAATACTCACTTTGCGCTTCATCCAATGTAGTGTCAAACGACGAGCCTTCTGTCACAAAAGTTGTTTCGGTTATAGGTCTTCCCGTTACAGTATTGGATACATCAGATCCATATGGTTGGTATTCTGAAACTACAGAGTTATTATGGAATCCCCCATATCTACCCCACCTACTTTTGTCCTCTTCAATCTCCACTGTTGGTAAATATGAATCTTCTGTAACAGAATCAAAAGTAACATTATTATTGTTACTCAAAAGGTAGTTTATATCAACAGCTAAAGAGGTAGGATTAGCAGTTGAGAAAGCTTGGCCTTCAGAATTTTCTTCTGCTCCTGCTTTTACACTAGCATCGGTTGATTGTCCCGTTGTGTAGTTTTCACGAGCAAGGCTATTGATTTCTTTTATATCTAAAGAGTTTATTTGAGATTGCTGATTTAGAACAGGTAGTTGGTTATTTGTAATTATCCTGGGACCACGATTTGATGCATCAGAAAAGTCTAGGACTTCGTCTTCATTTTCTTCTAAATTTTGTGTTAGATCAGAACCACTTGCACTCGTAGGTTCTGTAGGACGAACCTCTGATAAAATCCTTCTAAAAGAATCAGGATCTTCTAGATATGCTGACAAAGCTCTACTAAAAACCTGCGCCAACTCTCTAAGGTCAGTGGAATCTCTTAATTTTAACTCATCAGGAAGATCATCTACATTTGAAGAAAGCGGGATAAAAGGCTTTTTAGTTGACGACAATGGCTGAACAATACCACGACTTTGTTGAATGTCCAAATCATTTTGAACATCCTCTTTGAGACCTTCATTTTTCTCTGTCAATGCTTCTTTACCAGCATCTAGGTCATATATATCATCCCCAGTACAAGGCATGTCGTCACCATGTGAATGTTTCTTTTCCGTGTCATTAAAAAGAGAGGCGTACGAATCTTTTGTAGCTTTTGTCAACACTGTCGAGATATCTTTGACAGCATCATCAGTATCAACAGTGGATTTAACATTATCAATTTCAGTCTCATTATCTGGGCTACCAGAATGGGATCTCAGCAAAATTTCATCTGATATTTTTGAAACTTGTTTAGGGTGTGTTTTTAATATATCTCTTACTTTACTGTCTGATTCCTCAGAGCCAGTAGATGAGAAATTATAAAAATCTTCTGTGGATTGTGGAGGAAAAGTGTCTTCAGCGTTATATGCTGGTGTTGTACCTGAGTCTGCCTCTGATGTAGCATAATACAGAGCCAGTGTATGAAGTGCATTAGGTCCAGAAGAATCAGGAATCATCAATTTGCTTCTTGTCCCTTTATTTGTGTTAGAAGGTAGTAAATTGATCTCAGCTGGATCAATGTTACTAAAACTTGCCAGTTTATCTAGGCGGGAATCATTGTTGCTGTTTGGAACAGATGATGTTGTTTGTTTTGGTTCCAATCTAGTAACTAGTTTTTGGGAGGGAAATTGATCTGGACGATCTGGTATCGTTGGTGAATATGGTGAAGTCGATGACAACGTAGAGAAAGTAGAAATGCTTTCTTTTGTATTGGCAACAGAAGTAGGCGTATTTGAAGTAGAGTAGCTGCTTGTGGAAAATTGTTCATGTATGTTTTCATCCAATCCAAAATGCACATTTTCAACTTTGTTGCGACTATCTATTATCGGGCTAAAGCTCGCTAGAGTTGAAGAAGACTCAGTTGGCTGGGTTGCAGATTCCTGAGAAGTTTTTGATCGTTCTAGCTCTACGTATGAAAATGACTTACTCGGTTTAAATTTTGCAGTAAATACAGGCTTTTGAGTGGTACTTGTAAATCGACGTTGTTTTTGCCTTTGTCTAGGGCTGGCTGTTGTTTCTTGTATTGAGGGCAACGTCGTAGGTGACGAAAACCTATTTACTGAGGATTCAACCACTAGGCTTTTTGATGTTGTAGCAGTTCTATTTCTATTAAATTGAACATAAGTCTTACTATTCTGATAAATGTTTGCTTGAGCCTGAAGCCTTCCATTCTGCCTTGTTGTTGGACTTTGCTCTGGAGGTATAAGGTCAGGACTCGGTCTAATGAAATTCTTCTGTGGCACAAATGAGGGCGACACAGAATTCACGTCCATACTTTGAGGTGAACTAAACTCAGATTGGCTTGGTGTACTAGGGGTGTTAATAGGAACGCCGGAGGGTGTTTGTTTTGAAGTAGCCACATTTTTTGTAGTTGAAGTTTGCTTATTGGATCTGAAAAAGTTATTTCTACCTGAACTTTGCCTTAAATTACTATTTTGAGACGATGTGGGCAAAAGACGACCAATTGGTCTGAAATTTCTTGGTGGTGAAGGTTCTGAGTTTGATTTAGTAGAAGAGCCAGGATTGGATTGAAATGAACCTTCAGAAGACAAAGAAGAAACTGTGCTTGTTGGGAAGCTAAAAGAGTTCTCTGAAACAGTACTACTGGATAAAAGGTTAATACTTGTTTGAGGTTGTGGAGCCTTTGAGCTTAATTGAAGATCGTTGTCATTTGTCTGATAATTTGGTTGATTTCGCTGCTCAGTGGAGCCACTTTGTAACTGGGAACTTGGTGTGAAATAGTTTTCCTGATAAAACTGCCTTCCAAATTTGCTACCTCTGCTGCTGGCGAAAGAGGCTGTTTCAGACAGTATCTGTTGCTCGTTTTCTTCGTCAACTGGCTTGTTGGGCCTCGTGTCCTGTGAGTTCTTGTACTGCAGCTGATTTACATTTTTGGCTTCAAAATGGATATTCTCTACTTCAGGAACTGGAGTCACAAGTTGCTTTATTTGCTGTGAGGCCTGTTGCTTTCTTGCACTCTGTCTATTTTTGTAGTTGAGCTTAGCAGTTTCAAAGAATGGTGCATCAATATGAGTGTCTGGCTTCGGTGATGAACTCTCAATCTCTCTCTGAGTGGCCAACGTCTCTCCCTGCTGATCCCCCTTGTTGACCGCCCGTCCCAGCGCCTCCGCCCTCTGCTTGTAGACTCTTTGATCCGCAGCCAACTGCTCTGCGCTCTCCTCGTATAATTCCACCGACTTGCCGCAGTCCACTCGGAACCACCAGTCACAGATTAAATGAGACTGTCGAAAGATTGTCCCGTTTGGACACAAAAACGAGATCTTCCGCCCCCCATCACAAATGTGGAACACCTGCAATCATATGCACAATATGTTAATTCCAAAACAATCAAATAACCAAGGAAACTTTTATATTGGGCTAGCGTTGTGCATGAAAATGTAAATGTGTGCAAAGGAAAATTAAAGCAGCTGATAGAAGTGGTTTATGTTTCAACCATTGACTTTTGTAAACTAAAGAAGACATCCTATCTTTATCGACCAAAAAGGGATAAAAACTAACTTATAGCTTTTATTATTTATACAACCAGACATGCTATCTCCAATCCCCATATTCAAGTTGTCGCCAGTTTTTAATCAAAATCGTCGCAGTTGATGTGAGCCACTGACAGATTGTGCTGATCTGAATTACTAATTTCTGTCGAATATACAATCTTTTGTTCCAACTCAAACTCACGAAACGACTCAATGTGATCTATAGTAACTGTTATGACCCATAAGCAATAGAAAATAAGGTAAGAAACAAAAATTTTTGACGCTATAGCCCATTCTGTGACTGGCTCACAAAACTTTTCCTTTTTTTTATAAAATTTGGTGACAGCTTCTGGTCCATATAGATAGAGTTTCTACTTCAGTTTTCAACAGTCAATGCTTACAGGTAGATATACTAAAGTCAGGTGTTTATAACATAAGGCCATTCTCATTTTTGGTTGCCCAGGATGTCCTATGCCATCATTGTATTTACAAATAAGAGTGTTATATCTCTTCTAGCAGGGTGGTAGGGAGTGAAAATACTATTTTTTTAAATAAAGGTATTTTTTTATATAAAGTAACTTTGGTGTTATTATTATTATTATTATCATTTAAGATGGGGACGCCACCTACCGTAGTACCGGTACCGTAGTTATTTAAGCGCACACAACCAAAAAGACAGTACGCTGTACCAGTTTGTAAGCTGACAGAAAGTGGTTGTAGATTAATAAGATAACCAGAGAACAATTCTGATGGATAAACAAGTTCTTGGTAAGGGGAAAAGCTGTAAAGGCTTACAATCAACAAAAACGTGTATATTTGAAGTAAATGTATTAACAATGAAATTTAAAGTTTGCAGGTATGAATAATAACAAATACCTATAGAGGACGTGTTATATTATTATTAAGCTTGTCCGCTGGTTCACACTTCAATAAATATCCTTCTGAGGATTTAACAGCACCGCTTATAGAATGTTTATACTTTCGCCATCATTGAAGTGTTTGAAAGAGTGGTGGTGGTACAATGTGGTCACTATACCATGAAATACGGATTTGCACAGTTCACATTGCATTCTCTCCCTCAACAACAAGGTACATTGAGTGACGCGAGGTGAATCTGTCAAAGGTCCAATCATGTTGTCGACGATCTGACCAGTCAACAGGGGGATTGCTGTCAATGGCAAGACAACCTGGTGATTCGGTTTGTCGATTTACCTAAACAGCATTCTCCTTTTGTCTGAAAAATGTTAAGGTGGATACAATCGCAATACTGTTCCTTTAGTTGGAACCAAGGGCTAGGATACACAAATATCAAGAAGTTGCAGTTGTACAGGCACTGTTTTCATCACTCCATGATTTTAAAAACGTGAGTCAATTTTATAAAACTGATGAAAACTCAATGTTGAAACAAAACCAAATAACAAACCATAATAAATGCAATGTCTGAATTCAGTATTGCGATACCGTAGCTTTATTGTTATTGCTGCATGATTAAAAGACAAGCTAGTATTTTTGTGTTTGAAGTAAATACTCTAACCAAACAAACTGAATGATGCGGGGGCATGCTACTGCCCCACCTACTTTTTGTTTTTGGGATTGTTTTTTACATTACTTTAGGATAGACCTAGGGTTGCGGCATTATCACTTAGATAAAATCCATAGGTGATTTGATTGGATTTGAACCAGGGACCGAAGTCCCGCTCTCTACCACTAGACCAGCTTGCGCCCTCAATTGCCACACCTACCCACACCTACTAGTGATGTGAGCTACTGGGGGGGGGGGGGGGGGGTTTGGTGTTTGCTGGCTTTTGTGATGTTGATTTTTCATCATCGATGTGTTCATGTGTTCAAATACCTGGCAGTCAGTGTCCAAATCAGCGTAGTAGCCTGGCTTCTTGACGGCTCTGCAGCTGAATGCAGTAGTCGGGATGCTTGGTAAGACTGGAAAGTCCACTCCTGGTCTTCCCATCACCCCTGAAGAACACAAACACACTTTAAATAAGCGTCGTCCAGTAACTAAGTACGGTAGTCAAAATTATATTTCGTAGAACCATATAGAGAAGCAAACTCAGTATCTATTTGATTCTGTTCTGTTTAAAAACTAGACTAATCCGTTAGGGAGGAAGGGGTTGTATTAAAAGATGGCTCAGCTTTGAATCCTAGAGGTTGAAACCTATCTATCTAAATCTATAAAAGAGGAAGTATGTATATATATATATATATATACCGATATTTTGATTTGATTTGATTTGATTCCTTAGAATTTCCTTTTTACATTGATATATAATACTAAAGTATTTTTTTGGCTATCCCTAAAATATGAACATAAGTATGAAAGCAATGGTGAGTGTTAGAATGTAATCACCTTTTCTTTTCATAGATTTTCCGAAACACATTTTTCAAACCTTGGGGACACATATTTAAAAAAAACTTTAATCCGATTTAATCCGAATTACCATTTGAATTCAAGTGACTACAATTTACTTTGTGTCTTGTTTTCGCAATCACGATTGATAAAAAAAGGCACAAGGGTAATCCCTGACTATCGCCGGTTTAAATTTAGTAAATGCATGCTTTTCACACGGACAGCTGTATGTTACGTGCTTAGGTGTTGGTAGGCCCAAAACTTATATATTTATACACCTAATGAAAAAACAAAAAATCATTGTTTATCCCCTGGCATTTCAGTAAAATAAAATATTCAATTTTTTTTATCGGTATATTTTTTATTATATTTTGTAAACAACAGATTACCATTTGAAATAATAGTTGTTAAGCGCAGCAATGTGCGCTAGTAATGTATAAACAAATCATTATAGGTTCCAATTTTGTAACGTTTTATTTGGATTTGGTTTCACTATTGTTCCAATCGCCTTTAATTTCCAAATGTTCAAGTGCTAGAGACTGCATTTGAGCAGTTAATGTTTTTCTCGTTTACATATATATTGGCGATGTCTGCCTGTTTTTCCTTTATGATTAAATTATGAATCCGATTATGAATTTTGGTGAGTTTCTTTATATACAGTATACTTGGGATGGGATGGTTTATGTCTTTTCCAGATCTTTAGAGCCCTGCCCCATGGGCTTCATAAGTTTCAATACTAAACAAATAGCACAACTGTTAATTTACTGTTAATTTTTGGAATGAATATCTATATATTAATAGGTAAGCATGTTTCTTTAAAACCTTTTTTTCAGCTCTTGTGCATTGCAGGAAAATCTACGCATACTGTTAGAAAGATATTTGCCTGTAGATGTGCAGAATCCTTTAAAAATTTAAATAGGCTCAAAAATAAGCAGAAAAATTAATTTAAAATAAAAAAAAATAACATGAGCCTTATGGATGAGCTATGTTGGTGACGAAATTTTAACAAAGTATAACAGAAAATCAAAACAAATGGATGAAATTCCAATCACATGTTTTATTTACAGCGTGGGGTGAAAATAAAGAGGTTTGCACATTACATACTTTTGGTCGAGTTTTCGACCACGGGGTGAGCTCTAGTTATAAGGAACAGATGTAGCTTTGACTTTAGAAAAGTATTGGATTAATATGCTAACTCCGCTCAATACCTATTGCAAGCAGACATCTGCAACTGCATTGTACTCCTAGCTACAAAGTCACTCAATTGGAGACAAAATTCAGAAATTAAACTTTCCATCTCAGTACAAAAACTTATACAACCAATCGATTAGTTAAATTGCTTAGTCCGATAGAAAATAAAATAATAAAGTGGGAAAGCATGTGCTTAGTTTAGTAATGGAGTAATAGCACCTGCAATACTTTGTGACAGTATAACTCTGCCTGAGTGTCATGGTGGTTGCGTTGCTAAATGTGTAGGTACTCTGTAATAATACACTGTTGGCAACTCTGTGCTGGCAGTGGCTGGGTAGAATTCTCTAACTGGTAATCCTGAACATGGCTGTGCAATCGTAAACTTGGTTTCATGGTTATCATAACTTTGGCTAACAATAAAATCAATTTATGGCACTGATTTACATCATCTAAATTTATACTTAATAGGCCAAAGATAATATGAATTGTTGTCCGAAGCCTCAAAGGTGGCTCCGCCCCTGGTGTCGATGGTATCCCTTGACAACATTTCCTATCTTAAATTTCCATTACTGTATATTTTTAACAACAGTATTCTTCAAAATTGACGAATAGATCTTTTAATAAACATTGTCTAAATCGAGGAGATTTATTTACATTTTCTCAGTACTCAGTAGAGTCTTACTGTCCAGGTAAAAGTCTGGACCACGCCGGTTAACTTTTTAACGCATTGCAGTAGGAAAACCAAACTCGGCACATTAGGCTATAATGTTAGGTTATATACATCGATGGGTCCGATCTCAAAGAGCTCGCTCCGCTCAAATACTTAATCTTAAAATACAAGTAAGCATCAACATTAATCACATCGCAATAAGCCATTTATGATTAGTACTCCGTTGAACATTGTGCACGTTCCTCGACAAGGCTGACCTCTGAGACTAAACGTGGCCTAAACTAAAAAATGGTTTCGCCACTTTGTCATCAAAGCATTTTGTTTGGTTTTAAAATTTTCGATGTTTTGAAGGCTATATCATAGATAAAACATAGTATGTTTAACCTATGGTTATATTTCAAAAAGTGTTTTCGTATGCAGCTCTAGACAAAAGAAAAATTTAAACCTGTCCGTAGGCCTTTTTAGTAGTCGTGTGTCCGTAAATTCTTTTTGTCTATGGTAGAACGTGTTCATTGCATTTCTATAGGTACTCCGTTCACAAAATTTAGGTGGTTTTAGAAGAAAAATCTATCCCCTCCACTTGAATCTACCTTAAAAATAATAGCTAAACAGTTGAGGTTTGCCAAAACCTTAATCAGCTGTACCAAAAGAAAGTAGAGGGGGGACTTCCCCTCAAACCACCTAATTTTTGTGAACCTCAAATAAAAACTGTCTTAAGACAGTATTTCACCAGACTGTTATCATGCAGGAACCAGATATAGCTATCCAGCACTTATGTCATTTACTCGTATAACTCCCAGTTTTTCCTGGAAGACTTCAGTCGTCACTTTCACACCCTTTGTACAACAATGGTGCCTTTCCCAAAATTAGAGCCAATACTCTCTTGATATTCCCGGTCTTCCGGACATCCTACACTTCTTGCCTGTCTTCGATAGGTTTTAATATAAAATTTGCATACTTCAAATTTAAGTGTTTTACTGTTCGTTTATTGGTATGGTACGAACGAAAACAATAAATTATCATTCCAATGAATAAATTGCAAACTGGAGTTTAAGTTTTAGGTTACATTCTACAATGTGTAATTTATTCTATGGTTACTATTTACAGCTTTGTTATAAAAGCAGTTTGCAAATTGATCGTTATATTTGGTAAAAAAAAAAAAAACAAGAAGTAAATAGTAAACACGGAAAACGCTGTACTCCTACTGGACATAAACTTGCCTCTAGAGCTATCTTCAGCTAACCTTGAAAAGTAGTTCTCGTAAAATTATATGTAAATTAAATAGAAAATAAATCTGACAAATAAAAATAATTTCAGTAGAAATCTTGCCAGGCAAATAGAAATTCGCATAGTTTGCAGGTTTGCTGTGATCGGGATATTTTTGGTCTAATTTTTTAATAAATATTTTTCAACAACTATACTATCGATTCAAGAAAGATTCAGAATACGTGCCGGACGCAAATGTCTACTGCAGACTACGTCAGTAGCATTTTTATGTAAGGAACTTAAATACGTTGAAGGGACCTCTAAAATTTTAGTAGATATGTCGGGAATCGAACTCGGTCCTCTGGTACCGAAGCCTGACGAAAATACCAACTAGGCTTAAAACACGTTCAATTTTTATTTATGAAGCACAAGATTATCTCTCTCTCACCCTCTTGGCACTACCCAATTAGGCAGGTAACGAATACAGTTTTATTCACTCACCCTGATACTCCTGGTATTCCGTGTTGTCCTCGATGTCCTCGCCTCCAGTGATCAGCTTCCTCTGCACCCTCCGACCCTCAGAAGCCGCCGGTTCCTGGTCCTGCTCCTGGTCTTGTTCCTCCAGAGACTCCTGGAATGTCGCGGCACCCATCTCCCTGGCCACTGCAGCTATCGTTTCGCTCGTCGGCAACGACAGACGAAGCTTCTGTAAAATCATGAAACAATCAATGAGATAGACTTCATATCATTCACTGGTTTGTCACCATAAAAAAACTGTTTTAGGCCGAAGTTCTCCTAATTATTCAGCGTTTATCTCCAAAAGTAGGCTATACTTAATCTATGACCATACTTAATTTAAATTCTTAATTCACTGTTTGGGTTTATTTGCGCGATTGGTATTTTCACATTTTGTAAGGAAAAGGCCCCACTGAACTTTGACGAATGTACCTTAATGTTTCGTTAAATGGGGTTATTAGTCCATCGACAAACTCGATCTGGGTTACAGATTCGATCTCACTTGAAATAGAACTTGTAATATATTCTTTTACATAACTTGTCTGTTTGAGCTTTGAATGGAAGTACCTCAACCACCACCAACACCTGTGAATAAACAATTATTATACCTTTTAATCTACACATCAATTAGTCTTGTAGAAACAAACTAGTCACATTAATTGCGCTTAGGGCTCGTCGTTCTTGGTCCATTCATCTTGATCCTTTGCAAATGAAGTCAATAATAAAAAAATCAAAGGTTGATTACTTAGATTGCGGGTTTAATTTCCCATGACGACGAAGTTTGCTTAAACAAAACTATAATATAATTAATTTGTATGACGTGTAATTTAAAGATAGATGTACATTAGACTTTCTTGTACTAAATTAGGCTACACTGTGGAGATTTGCTTCTCTCCTACAGTTTTCATACCACGTGGAGGGAAATCGTTTGTTATGAAGGTTGTTTTCCAGATGACCAGACATGAACGCATTATAGTTTCACACATTTCTTCCCGTGACCCAAATATGGTGCGTCCGTGTTGAGCTGATGATATGCTCAGTGTTTCATCTTGACTTCAATATTTCGGCAGAAAATGATCTAATATTTTTTTATTTGGATTTTTTAAACATTAAATCTTTGTTGGTGTAAAGTGGTTCTTAGTTAAACACGAAAATCTCACCAGTTTTTTCTTTTAGTAAATTTCCCTATATTGAAGTAGCTATTACCGTAGGTGGTACGGTAAGACTTAGAAGGGCCGTAACCTAGACTCGGGACCGATATCCTTTTTCATTTTGATGTCCCTAAAGGCCAAAAACTCTATTCGTTCAAATATTTATATATTTTGGGTTTCAGCAGTTCTTTTTGCATGAACAATAACTCTCCAGTTCATTATTTCATTTAACATTTTGTTTATATCAAGTCACAAAGATTAGCCCAACTTAACAGTTTGCTTCATTCAGCTGAATTCTCGGGCATAGCCGTTGTACGTTTGTTTACGCTATTCAATGATGGGAAGGAATTGAAAAAAAAAACTATATAAAAATTTACTAAAAACCAAGACTGAAGTCAGAATATTTTACAATTAATTAATTACCTGGTTTAGTATAAACGAGAGCTCACCCCGTGGTCTTAAACTCGACCAAAAGTATGTATTGTGCAAACGTCTCTATTTTCACCCCATGCTGTAAATAAAACATGTGATTTGAAATTTATTGGAATTTATTTATTATTATTTATTGAGCAACCCACAAGACCCATGTTAATTTTTTTAATTTTAAATAATTTGTCGTGTTTATTTTTGAGCCTATTTTAATTTATAAAGGAATTCTGCACATCTAATGGAAAATATATTTCATTTGGTGCCAACCGCGTGTAATTCGGTGCAGTAATATGGCCAGGCTAGCTGTCATAAATTTTGTAAGTTTTTTAGTATTTAAGATAATCAAATTTATGGAATTTTGCAAAATATAACTACTGTACAGTAGAATTTTTAGATATGATGTTAATCCCTAAGTTGGTGCCGAGGCGTGACCGAAACGAGTTTTCAAGTTCAATACAAACGATTCAGCAGATATTGACACAAAAACGTATGAGATGCCAATGATGTACAAATCACAAACGTGTTCGAGAAATCAATCCAGAATTAGATTGACTATTGTGCTTTTATTTAGTATTCAAACCGATGGTACCGAATTTAAATTTTTGCCAAGACGTGATATTTCAATTTGTTAAACAACGTTTTAGCCAAAGCGGAACCACTCCTCAAGACAAGCTCAGATTCCCGATACTTTCTTGACGTTTAGTAGTAAGACCAGGGACAAGGGTTCCTACAAGGGTTCCTTTACAAGCAACCTTTAAAGATACCAATGGGGTTGATAGACATAAAATAAATATAAAATTAAGAGCGGTCCTAAGGCCAATCAGTTCCCACGAAAAATGAAGACGAAGATGAACGAATTAAGAAAAGATTAGGTCAGTAGGGCGTTGTGCAAGGGCCGTCAGGCTCCGGCGGGGCTGGGCCTGAGAATCCGGAAGGATCAAAACATCTCGGCTAAGACAATGCCTCTATAGACCGGCGGATGTTTTGAAACCAATCATTACGTGTCTATCCAACGCTACTTCTGGATCTACTTGGAATATGTTGCTTGTATACGTCTATACGGATTGCTTGCTGCACTCGTTTAAATTTTGGTTTAGATCATTATTTTTTCTGAGCTGACATTTGTTGGTAATTCCGTCCGTGGCCGCTAAGATCATGTTTTGTTTACAATTCGTCTCTCGGTATTTCAGTTATTATTATTAAAGTTTTGGCTGCCTCTTTTATTTTGCATTTGCCCATCCACATGGGCCTCTGCGCGTATCTAGCAAAACAACGGGGAGCCGTTACAGTACAAGGGTGAACTGTACTGATGTTATAGTTTTAGGCTTATAGGTTATATTAGTATTATAGGCATACTGTATGTTAGCCAAAAAAAATTAACTTGGTCCTGTTTAAAATTTCAAAGTGGCGTTCGTTTTATATTTTAGAAATCAAATTACTAAATGATGACTTAGTGACAATAGTCAGGAACGTCTTTATTTATAAATTTAAATTCCCTATCAAACGACGTAAAGTTTAAAAGGTTCGAGTGAAAAATAGCCGAAATATAATGATTTTATTTGTAAAATGATTTGCAACATGACTAACACATTTTACAACTAAAAATCGTAATATTTCAGCTATTTTCCACTCTCAATATATTAAAACTTCGTGTCCATTTGATAGGAAATTTACAGAATTTACCGAAACTTACAATATTTGATTTATAATGAAAGAATAAAACTAGAGATAACGTGATGGGAAAGGTATTATGACTACGTATCAATCATATACTTTAACACACTCCAATACAGTGCTGACATTTAGGCAGCTTGCAATAGATTATCGTGAATTAAGATAATCACGGTTCTTCAACATACGTGTGACCTTTTCTATGTCGATAGTCAACTTTGAACTGTAAGGTATGTTTTGTTGGAGAGGAATAATTAATCGCTGATTTTGTTTTGTAAACCTGTATAGAGCACCTGTATCGAGTAATTTCTCGATCGATTTAATCTAGATGATTGAATACAAAAATGTTTGACAATAATAATACATGACACAATTTTTTTCTTGATTTGATAAACAAATTTATTATTATAAGCAACTTCTGCACGTTTTGCCAAGGATTGATAGAATAAATTGTTGGCCAATAATGCTTATTTTAATATCAGTACTACACTAATCTAATAATTGGCCTTTGTCATGGAAATTCGCTGTTTCTGCAAGATTTATGGAAGAACAGTCCAATTTTTATTTTTGCGCTACTTTATATGCCGGTTTATTTTCTTGGCAGATATTATCTCTCGCTTCAACGTTCTTCTAGAAGGATACCTTTGATTTTCATATAAAGTGTGTTTTCTCATGAAAAAATGTTTTATTGCATTATACGGATAGCTTTTCTGGTCGTTTTGTATAAAAATAGTGCGTACTAATTCCTATTTGAATTTGTTTGCATAATAATTCTGAAGAAGTTAAATGGGTTCCATGGTTTTATCAAAAAAGAAAGGTCTCAATATTTCATATTTTGGAGAAACAAAATAATGTCTAACTAAACACAATATGAATGTACCTTATTATTATCACACAGATAAAGAATTTTTCAGAACATTTTTCATCTATGTATGTTTTATACAAATGCACTAATCCTATTCTAACTCATGAGAAGTTTAGTGATGACAAAGAGACGACGGCCTCGACTAAATCTTTGCGCTTGAAATTAACATTCACAAACGTGACTGGTCAATCAAGCTGACCTCTCGATGACATTTGAGTGACCGTTGTCACATGACCTTGGACCGATGTCCATACGTAAATCCGCACAGTAGATTAGTACATAAATACGCACAATACGTAAATACGTACATTGTATGAATACGCACTGTTAATTTTGATTGTTCACCATTTTAATTGACCACATCGTGCATCTTGACATTCAGGTTCATAAACTCATTATATTAATGCTTAGAATGTGTGTTTGGTCTTTACATAAATACGTTTAACACTTACTGTTACAATTTATTGTCATGCCATACTATTCATCACAGCTTGCATCTTAAAGCAATTTTTCAGATTCATACACTCATTCTCAATATTTCTTAGAATGTGTGTTTGCCTCGTACCTTTTCTCTTATATTGTATAACTGTAATATACCACTGTCTGAAGAATCGGTATACAATTTTTCTCCGTCTTTACTGGTCTTCAGATGAACAACACACTATAGTTTGTCAAGTCACCGATCATCAGACTATCGTTTTTCCACTCCAAATAATTTCTCATTCGTAAAGTAGTAGAGTAACTGGTAATAAGAAATCTTATCGTAACGTGTGTGATTTTTTCCTTTTTCATTTTACTAGCTTATTCGTTTCCTTCACTCCAACCGTGTGGTGAGCTATCCATCAAGATACTTTGCGTTCAGTATACATACAAACCCTACATAATAAACTGTCCTAACTTTGAGCAAAATAATTACGAGAGTCGTTATTAATTCATTGAAAACTCATATTGGAAATGATTTTATTAATGCTTCTATTGTAATACCTTTCTCTCTAACTCATAACTCTTCCTACATTTATAACAAATTCTCATGAACTTAGCACCATGAAAAAAGTCGTTCCAATTTAAAGTGTAAAACAGTTATGAGTACACGAACCGAACTAAGGCACATATAAAATATATTGTGCTGGTTTAAAATTCCGTATAGTATCTTTATAATAATTAATTTCACTATCTAAAATAATAGATGAAAGCATGGCAGAAGATGGGAGTTCAGAGTTGGTTCCCGATACTAGATTGCATTCCATTTTCGTTAAGTAATCACGTGCCATTAATACATTTTACGTTGCACCTTTCCCACAACTTCTGAATATTAAATTACCTGACTTGTTAAAGACTATCTCAAATCCCAAGGATTTGGAACGAACCCTTCTTCAACTGGTCATTTTCTCCTGAGCGCACAACATTGTTGAGTAACCTCTTACAAATCTTCTCTGGCCGTCAGTTGTTCGTATTATTCGCCTTCCGCTTTGATAACAGCTGTTCAACCTTTCCCTCAGTTGTTCTATATAATCGTCAGCACTTTGGAGCCCTGTTCACCGCAGAGGCATTAGACAGTTAATGATACGAATGGGCCTTTAGAACTCTCGTAGTGATGGAGAGTTGTTTTAAAAGTGAAGTAGAACGAGTAGAACAGGAGGAACACATTACAGTTACTAAGTAGCAGTTACAAAATTGGCTTGATGAAACTTTTAACCACTAACTTTAACTGCCATGTAATTAAATAGAATATTTTCGTGGCATGAAATTTACTAAATATTATGGACCCGCGTTCATTTACGTACATTTCGAGGAAATTAAAATATTATTAAGTGATCCATGTTAGGGGCATTATATATTCTTGAAAGTCTGTAACGATTGCGTTAATTACAGCACCTATATTGGAAATGTATTCATTAAACCCCGTTCTATATGTTGTTCAAAGGTTTATTGCAGACATTTTCCATAACGATTGTAAAAAACAATACACGACGTTTCGGGATCTCGAATCTGACCCCGTCCTCAGATGAAAAAAACTTAACTAACACATTACAACTAACAATACACAAATGCCCAACCTAAGTTGGAATACACTACAGAAGGTAGCAGTCAAAAATATGCACTGTATAGCAGTCAAGTCATGATACAACATGCAAATAATAACCAATCACAAAACACTATAATCTAAAAATGTGTAACGTAAAAAGCTCACACAATGGAACACTAATGATTATAGTGATTATAGTGTTATAGATTATAGTGTTTTGTGATTGGTTATTATTTGCATATTGTATCATGACTTGACTGCTATACAGTGCATATTTTTGACTGCTACCTTCTGTAGTGTATTCCAACTTAGGTTGGGCATTTGTGTATTGTTAGTTGTAATGTGTTAGTTAAGTTTTTTCACCTGAGGACGGGATCAGATTCCAGATCCCGAAACGTTGTGTATTGTTTTTTACAATCGTGATGGAAAATGTCCGCAATAAACCTTTGAACAACATTAACTCACCATCACCAACAATGAACTTCGAACAAAGAACCGTTCTATATATTTTTTATATGTTAAGGTGTTAAGGCGAAAATTATTGAAGCTTGGCGGTTCCGGGCCCATTAATGGTCAACGAAAGCTGGGTCTAGTTTTGAACCAAAACAAAGCTACTGACTTTTCTCAAATTCGAACCGGCAACCTTGTGATTACAAGACGAGCACTATGTTCACCTAGAAATCCTAGAATGTTTCACTATGTTCCCTTAGAATGTTTGTTGAGTATTCAACAACAATCCATTCCACTAAAACAATTCAATTATGCTTCTAATAACAGGTAACAAGATTGTATTCCCCAGTAAGGGAAAGATGCGTTATAATGGCAGCATGCTAATGATTGTATAACGCAATGTGTAAGAGTGAGTGAGAGAGAGAGACTGATAAATGGGTCAGTTCTCATCGATAAGCGATATGTTGGCCTCGAGATCGCTGCCTCAGCCTCATCGATAGGTCAGCTTTGACTGCAACTATACAGCTTTAGTAACAGGCTCAAATTGGATTAAATGTTGGTAAATCATATACATTACAGGACTTAATTGTTTTAAGAGTTAAATCTGAGACTTAAAACTAAATTACAACTGTTTTACAAAAAAATAACTAAACTTTTCAGAAAAAGGTATAGGAAAATAAAATTTACACTGTAAAATTTACAGTGTAAATATTTAATATTGAGCTAGGAGGTTTGGGTAGGTTCATGCATATTCAATTCCAGCATCCCTCTAAACTTAGTCTACCTATAAATAAAAAAAATAGTTTGAGCCATCAGGGAGTTTCAATTTTGAAGAATTTTCAAGGGTAATTAAAATTATTATTAAATTATTTAACATTTTCGAACCAATAAACCACATTGAAAATTGTTCAATTAACTGGAATGTTTTTCAATTGTGAGGTACAGGTTTAATGTGTGTTTTTTTAGTTTTTTTTCTGGAATTGAATTTTGGCTCTCCCTAAAAGTGGACAAGAAATAACTCGTGTTAATGTTTTATTAAAATATCTTTTGAAAAAGTTCTTTTGTGATTGGCTCCTTTGGTATCATTTCCCATCCTATTTCCAATGTTTATACCACCAATTTACATCTATTATATTATATTCAGAGACATGTCTAGCTCAGTAGCTCAGAAAGCAAGCTTCATTGTGCATCTAATTGGAACCATGAAACATATACATGTACACTAAGATAATATGTTGCTCATCAAAGAGACTTTAATGACTGGTGTGACAGATTGAAATCTCTATTTTTACACTTGCAGAATCACTATAAATATATCGAATATTGTTAGAAGACGTTTTATTTACGTTATAACTTAAAGGAATTTACTTTTTAGGGGCTCTACGTGCAATTTCAACTAACATTATCAGTTTAAGTATACTGTTTCCACCTAAACTAGTATATTTAGGTTTCATTGTTTAAGTAATTCATGCTAACCACATCGCAGAAGTAGGGTATGAGTTATGACACGCTAGTTAAGTAGGCTTCAACCGCATACAATAGCTTGGGGTAATTGTGAGAATCGAAGTGTGCAACTCTTACAGAGTAGATAAATATGAGTCTTACACAGAACGTTAGTAAATAACACTGCCATAGCTTAGTTTCCTCGCAATTTTTATTGTTGTAACGGGTAAAATATGCAATTAACCAATTTAAAGGTTTCCTTTGAAAGGTTACGGTCAAGAGTAGTTAGTGTCGTTAAAACGGTACATCCAATAGCGATTGTCTATCATCGGTATGTGCTAACTGGGTAATTGATTGCTAATTGGTAATTGTAGTACTCACCTTCACTCCGGCCAGGGACGACGTCCATAGACCTGAAACAAGGATGGGAGTGGTTAGCACATGCAGAGATTGCTGGTCAAATCAGTAGCATAACAGTGAGCTTTACTGAGGGTGAAATATTGCTCCAACCCACAAATTATAAAATTATAGCATGCCATGTTGTCTATTGTTTACAATGAAGCCAAAATTAAGATGATTTATTTTTTGACGAAATCAACTACAATATTGTACTGTTTAAAATGGAATAAATTACTATTCATTGACTATATATGTAATTAATTTACTTTTTATGTTAATTTTTCAAAGCTTGACTCCTAATGTGTACTTTATTTAGTATTATGTTTTAATGCAATTCATTATCTACATGGATAAGGTTTTGTAGCCGAGTGGTTGACTGTACTTGCATTCACATCTGAAATTCTCTAACTTGATTCCAAGCGAGATCGATGCTGGGCCGGATTTCATTCTTTGGACTAATATTAGCGATGCTATCTAACAAAACGTATAGTGAACCGTTCCTCTACACTAAAACGAATAAAATACCAAAGGGGTAGATAAACAAGAACACATACGAGAAGTCAGAGTAATCTACTATAGTGCTTCAATTTAGTATTTAGTTGGAAATTTTGAATAATTAGTTATAGTACAATTTATTGATAGCAGATTATTAATAGTTTTTACAACAATTTGTTTGGCGCGCGGCGTGAGACGAGCGAGGATTCCCAATGCTTTCTCTTTATGTAAGCGCGGCGCGGGTGAGACAATGCTGCTGCGTGAGACCCTGATTTACACAACTCCTCGGTTATTGGCCACTGCGGTTGTTTCTTGCAATTGAGCCTCTGCGCGTGCGTATTCAACGCCGCATTAGAACAAGCATGACAGTACAGCTAAACACATTGTTGTGTTAAGCTATCTAGCTATCTAGAGATGCATTACCTGTTAAAGTTGTAGTCAGTTTAAGAATACAAATGAACGCCGATGGCGGAGACATCAACAGGGTGCGCTGTTTTGAGTTACCGTACTGATTTCAAGTATGACAACTATTTTAAGCCAAACTGAAAAGACTTATTGTGAGCTATTTTACACACTTATGTAAGATCAACTATAACACCCCGTTATTCAATTAATTATGTTCTGTAAAACAAAATAGCCTCAGGTGACCCACACTACCGGGATGTCTACTTCAGTACTCAAAGGTTAATATTATTAACTATATTGTTATTAGCTAATATTAATTTGGGGTCTGCCTATAGACTGACTATTGAATTTGATTGTTGCATATACACAAACTAAGTAATAAATCTCCTAAAGGTGCATTTTATGTTAGCTAGCAGGTACTGGTTGGGAGTTTATTTTGGCCATACAACGCATGGATTATGTTATTATTGTAATATGGTGTTTTGTAGAGGGAGATCGTCAACAGATACAGTTCTCCTTGACCTGTCATTTTCAGTTTTGATATGTTAGCTAAAGATGCGTTCCAGACTACGGGGTCACGGCATTATTACACATCGAATAACCATATACAGTGTGTAAATTAAGTATTGAAACAAATCTTTATCTTTTAAACCGAAATAGATAGAAATATTCTGTTTGTGGCATTGATTGTTAACAAAGGATCCGTAATTCTTTACATAAAAAATGTTTTTTAACCCCTTTAACAGGGTGGGGTGACTTTTTTCCAAATAACAACCCCTATTGAGTGACCTCTCATTTTGAAGGGTTTGTCAAGACATAAGCAATGGTGCAAACCTGAAATCGACATGTCACCCCTAGTGAAAATGGCAGATATTAAAAATTTGGACTATGTGTAAAGTACCCATTTCACAAATTAAAGTTTTTAAATACCTACCATTTTGGCTCATACAACTAGAACTCATTTTGTCACAGTGCGTATGTGTGGACAATATTACTAGAATACTAAGTAATTCAGATGTCAAGCTTGAAACCCCACAACGTAATTTTAATCTTTGTTGAAATATTGAAGTGTGTAGTTCTTTTCATAATATTTTACAAGGTGTCCTCCAGAAACCAAGATATCTTCACAAGGTTATCTTCAGCAACGGGAACAGATATCTCACGAGATCTCCAGCGGCTGAAGGGCGCAGGAGGTAACTCTTCATAAGTACGCAGAAAGGAGGTCTATTCCAAGGTGTAATGAGAGGTCTACACCTTCACACAATGTAGTGTGACCATATTGCTCTGTATGTCGCATCCTTGTACCTTGTAAACACTGTGACACTATTTCCTGACAATTACAGTTATGCGGTGTCGTTCAAGTTTTTATGCTCCGCAGTCGAAGAGAAAGAAATGTGCCAAGGCTGATCTGTTCTGTGAACTTGCGTTTTTGTGTCTAGATTGGCTGAACAAATGTTTATTTCTAGGATGTATATTAAATGGTTAAACAGGACTATAGATATACTGTTGACGGTAGAGGGATGAATTCATTAATATTCTAGGGAAAATTACGTTTTGGGACGAAAATTCCGTTTTTATCGTAGCGACAATTTACCAATTTGAGTAAACAAAAGACTTGTAACATGTGTTTATACAATCCACAGTATAATATCAAACTACAATGTACAGTACAAAGGGAAAAAACGTCAGTTCTTATTATTGAGCAAAGATTAGCCTACACTGATGATTACTCGATGTGGGGGGGGGGGGGAAATAGTTCTAATCAAATGCTAATTATTTTACTTGGCTCTCCTCATTATTCAACAAAGCTTTCCTCGAAGTACTGAGACAATTGTTGGCAAACTTTGGTTTAACAGTACATTTCATTATGTTATACTTATTATGTAAATTTGAATTTAAACCAAAAATGTAACAGCGCATTTCATAATATTATAATTTTTAAGTAAATTAGAAGCCAAACCAAAAATTTCAATCAGCTGTTTTATTTTAAACAACCTGTCAAAACACTGTTCATACACAACACTGTAGGTGGACTGATCTCTAATAGAGATCGATGGTGGATTGTCAGGTTAAAATTGCCATCAAAATAAATTGAAATTCGACAGACACTAAAATAATAAAAGCCAAAATTAGTTGCAAATCAAATGTGAGTTTCCTTCATATTATTACTTTGACAATCGAAATAAACTATAGCGAGTTATGAATTGGTTCCCCGGTACTATGTATTTTAATCTACAAGAAGAACACAAGGTCAGTCTCGTGGACTCTCGTGTTTTTTTGTGTTTGAAAATATTCATTCAGCTGGAAAAGTAAACCAACAAACAAGAAAACTGTGCTTCAGAGATACGCAGATGAAGAGGGAAAGCTGGAGCCCGATACGCTAGAAAAACGTAAATGGTGAAAATAATCCGTGTTGATGTTGAGAACGATCGCTCTGGCATTGACACCTTCAGAGAACATCTCATGGAACGTGGTATGGAGTTCCTCATGGTCGACGGCGCATGACTGGGAGTTCTCGTGGATAAAAACTCAGTCAAAACATTCTGTACTAGCAAAATCGCATGCCAATGTATGATTTTGTGTTTTAAATCTAGTTCACAAAGGTAAAAGTTTTAAGTATTTCTAGAAACAAAAAACATCACAATATATTGTTGTTTTCTAAAACGTTTTGTAACCTTTATTTAGTAAAAAAATTGTTTGAGTCTCATGTGTTATGAAGCAACAGTAAAGTAACTTGTTCACAATTATTTTTTTTATTTCAGGGGAAATTAAAGCTTGTTGGTATATTTTGCTATCAGCAAAAGTTTTGAAAATTCAAATTGTCATCAGATTACTCTGTTCTGGTTTGATTCGGAACTTATTACCGGACTATATTGAAGCTACACTGTGAATTCAAAGTAAAATTTTAATACAGTATTTTAAAGTCGATCCTCATTTGATATCCAAATCTTATTTATTTAAAAGAATTGGTTTTTCTTTTCCAAGTTCGTTTGGCTCTTCTACCCGACCGACTTTAATGATTGAGGCCTCAAATTGAAGTTATGCACGCACTGATTTCATATCAATCATCGGCATATATTTATCTAAAGTATTTACTCGACCAAAAACATACATTTAATTTATGTTCGAATTCTTACTTCAATTTAAGATGTATTTCACCAATTATAATTATATAATCCCATAAATGTTGGTCTACGAACCTTCAGTGAAATACCGGCTTTCATTTAAGCTATTAGTTATTCAAATCGGACGAGTTTTAAGCAAACGCAAGGTGAACAACCAACTATTTAACAAATCAATAACTCCAGATTGTCTGCATGTTTGCTGTGGTGGGGTTATTTTTATATGTTTTAGACTCGAAATAATCCGTAAATTATAGGCTTTAATTTGAGCTATTGATAGTTAATAGTCCAAAATATACAAATCTTTGTAAATAATGCTGTTACGACTATAACAATAGTCGAAAGGTAAATAAACACCATGGATTGCAAAGGTAAATAAAGAGTATAAAACACAACTGTGCTGAAAGAATCATGGAGACTATGTTCAATCACCTAAGAAGACTCAAAGAATGGAAGAGTATGCAGCGAACCTGTCTCGTTCATCGGTGGTGACAGGGTTTTCTGTAAAACCGAAAGTATTGTCAACCGCAGTTTTGCCAGCACAACAGTAGTACCAACTACAGTAGTAACAAACACCACGACTCTCAGAATCTCTCCACGATGTTCAGTAGCAGTATGGTAGTGGGGGTGGGTTACTACGAGCGGATAAGGGTACTAAGGTCAAAGGCGACATAGCTGTGACAAGAGAAACTCCTGGTAATAGCTACCAGGAAGTTGATACCCAACACTATTGTTTATACATTACTTCATTGTTCGAGATGAACATTGGGTATTGTTTTGAAGAATCCTAAGGTGTGGCTGTTAAAGATATAATGATTTGGTTAAGCCGCACAATGCGAGATTGCAGTGATGAGTGTGGTCAGTTTTCTCTTGCCTACTTTGTGGTGAGATGACACAAGTGCTATGCCTGAAACATCTGCTTTGTTGTAAAGTGCATTGCGTAAGTTGCAAAGATGGAGCTCTTCGTTGATAACCTTAAATTGGTAAATGAA